CCTATTTCAGAGAGGAGCTATGAGGATTAAATAACTTTTATAACTCATTTTATTACTACTAAGAGCTAATGTTTACTAGGTAGCAAAACATATTATAAAGCTATAGTAAATAAAACAATGTGGTGCCCATATAGGAATGGATAAATGAATACTAGAAAAGGACAGAGCAGACAGACACAGGTATCCATGAAAATATGGTCTGTAATCTAGTACATGATGACAGAGAGGGGAAAGTATGGTGTTGAAAAACATACTGAAGTATTTGCAGATAAATATATATCTGGAATCTGCTTTGAAATAATTTATTGAATAACCACAAATAAAAATGTACTTTTATAGTTGACTTCCACCCAGATCTACAAATTGCATTAGGTTACTATCTCATAAGTCTTTTAATATATAGTTTCCTGTCTTTCTGTTTTCAATCTCACACACTGATCAAAATGAAAAAAGTAAGAGTAAGATAGAAAACTGATATTTACTAGTTATAATCTAAATAAGTTGGGATGATGAAAATGTCCTGGAATTAGATAGTGGTGATGGTTGTACAACCTTATGAAGATACTAAAAAAACACTGAATGGATACTTTAAAAGAGTGAATTTTATGGTTTGTGAGCTATGTCTCAATTTAAAAAAAAAAAAAGCTCCTTCTAGGAACCCTACTCCAAAATGACACCTGCACCCCAATGTTCATAGCAGCACTATTTACAACAGCCGAGAAATAGAAACAGCCTAAATGTCCAAAAACAATGACTGGATAAAGAAGATGTGGTATATTTATACAATGGAATACTACTCAGCCATAAAAATGACAACATAATGCCATTTGCAGCAACATAGATGTTCCTGGAGAATGTCCTTCTAAGCGAAGTAAGCCAGAAAGAGAAAGAAAAATACCATATGAGATCACTCATATGTGGAATCTAAGGGAAAAAAAAACAAATACAAAACAGAAATAGACTCATAGACATAGAATACAAACTGATGGTTGCCAAGGGGGCGGGGGTGGGAAGGGACAGACTGGGATTTCAAAACATAGAATAGATAAATAAGATTATACTGTATAGCACAGGAAAA